ATTCCCATGAACTCCGGATCACGCTATTGCGAATACACTGAGAGTTCAACTTATTATTTCTATTCATTTTATTTTATTTTTGTTTACTTCTTAATTCGGAAGTAACCTTAAAGGTCATGTAGACAAAAACTGAAGCGGTTGCTTACATGATACGAATGTATTCCCGACGGAATCATAAAGATGCTTTTCTTTTCCATAATCTGACTCAACGGAGAACATAGGCGATGAATTAATAGAGATCCTTTTATATAATCTATATTAACTTTGACTCTGTTGTTATCACTTTTGTCCCTTCTTCATCTAAATATGTCTTTATGCGTCTTTTTTTGTCCTTTCTTTTCCTATCTTTCTCCCATCTCTCCCCCTCTCTCTCTCCCTCTATCCCTCCCTCTCTCCCCCTCTATCCCCCCGACTCTCCCTCTCTCTCTCTCTCTCCGCCTTTGATCATGTGAGGTTTCATTTTTAGAATTTTCAATTTAAAAAGCGCCAATTAAGCCCATTTACAATTAAGTCAAACTACAAATTTGATTACAAAGGAAGACAATGTACGGGGAAGATTATATTCCAGCAACTCTCCCTTTATTTCAGATTTATTATTCGAAGTTCCCGAGTTTTTTTTGTTTTTTTTTTCAGAGCTCAAATTCTGACCACTGATTCTGGAAATGAATAAAAGGCTCGCAAACACATTGACCTCTACATACGTATATATGTATTTATTTTTATACATGTATTTTTTAAATCATTTCACCCCAAGCAAGGCAACAAAGCCAACAAGACTACTGAGTGTTAAAGAATATAAGAAAAGCTACTATCAAGGAGAGGACAAATAAAGAAAAAGAATTAAAAAGGTAGATAACGATTGACATTGCATTTAAATTTTCATATATATATATATATATATATATATATATATATATATATATATATATATATATATAGATGATAGATAGATAGATAATATTAGTGGAAAATATACATACATATGCAAAATATATAAATACCCATACATGTATATTTTTAGAAAAAAAATAAAAATAAAAATTCCAAGAGGAAGAATCCTGGTAGAACTCAATGTCCAGGACAGAATAAGGATATAATAAAAAGGCTTAAACACTAATATTCCATGGTCATAATTTATTCCATTGGAATCGTAAATACGATCCAATTCATCAGACCTACAAATTCGAAAAGAAAACAGAAAAAAACCAAAAACGGAAATAAAAACAGAATTTAGAGAAAGTGTAAGTATGAGGAGGAGGGAGATTAAACCTTAACAGAGAGAATTTTAGGAGAGATGGGTAGAAGGGGTTTAATTATATATTTATATTTGATTTGTAACCTGTAGTCGATATTAAATTTGTCAAATTTTCTCAATTACAAAGCGGCCCTTTAAGTAAACGCAATTTTACTTTCCTTCGTCCCATCTCTCTCCCCCACCTCGTCTTTCCCGCCCTCTTATTCTAACATTAGATTGTCTATGGTGTGTATATGTCACCACGAAATGTATCTTTATGCATTAGACATCCGTCAACATTCATTCTTTTCTCTTAATTAAACTCCCTCCTCCTCATACTTACACTTTCTCTAAATTCTGTTTTTATTTCCGGAGTTGTTTTTTTTTTCTGTTTTCTTTTTGAATTTTAGGTCTGATGAATTGGATGTATTATTTACGATTCAATGGAATAAATTATGACCATGGAATATTAGTGTTTAAGCTATATTTATATATATATATATATATATATATATATATATATATATATATATATATATATATATATATAAGGCTCAAACACTAATATTCCATGGTCATAATTTATTACATTGGAATCGTAATGACGATCCAATTCATCAGACCTACAAATTCAAAGAGAAATCAGAATGCGGCTCTTTTATAAATGCCCTTCGGTTTTAGTTGCCCCCCCCCACCTTACATGTTTCCCGTTGTTTTTCTTTTCTTTCCTTTTCTTTTCTCTCTCTTTCTCATCTTCTGATTTTTAAGTTTAGATTATTGTGCGTAATGTCACCACAAATGTATAAACCCATTTCCGGTGTCAGTTTTTAAATTAATTTAGGTCAGTGATTCAGGAATGAATTATACATCGGAAAATAATTCAACTTTATCTGTATCTCTTTCATTTAATTTGTCTTCTAACTTCTCTTTGGAATTTCTTTCTATTAAATTTTAATCCCCACCTTCATTTTTAGGCCTTCCTGTTCTTCTCTCGTCTATTACCCCTCTCTAGAACTTTCATTTCCCTCTCACATTCGTCCCCCACTCACATACATACACTCTTGCTAAAATTTATTTCCGGAGTTATTTTTTCTGATTTCTTTTTGAATTTGTAGGTTTGATGAATTGGATCGTCATTACGATTCCAATGTAATAAATTATGACCATGGAATATTATTGTTTGAGCCTTATATATATATAAAAAATTTAAATGCAATGCCAATCGTTAGCTACCTTTTTAATAGGTCTGATGAATTGGATCGTAATTACGATTCCAATGTAATAAATTATAACCATGGAATATTAGTGTTTAAGCCTTTTTATTATATTTTACTCTATCCTAGACATTGAGTTCTACCTGGATTCTATCTTCTTGGAATTTATATATATATATAATAGTAGTGGTTAATTTGCACACACACATCGTAAATTTCAGAAATAACTTATTACAAAAAAAATTTCGCTTGAAGATGGAACAGAGCTTGGTACTTTAATTCAATATAATTCAAATAATTATATTGAAGTTTTCGGCTCTTGTTTTGAAACATGAGAACTCATATGTAGCGTTGGAATCATATTTTTAAATAAATAATTATATATATATATATATATATATATATATATATATATATATATATATATATACGGGTTGTATCAACAAAATTGTCAAAATCGTGTAACAACATAAATGTCCACCTCATAAAATTTTTAATATCTAAAAAAATCACTAAACTAATTGAGTTTCTATTTCCAGGTTTTCGGATAAGACGTTTAGCTATTTTGATACCATTTGTCGTAAGAATCACTGAAAAACCCTTTGAGCTATTTAGCTAGAAAAAGAACAAGTTAAAATTGTTTTCAGTCAGAACGATTATGTCTTTCCAACGGAGTAAGGACGAGAGGAAAATCATTAAGGCCTCCACCAGTCGTACTTTGGCTTCCATCTTCAAATCCATTCAAGAATCATCCAGAGAACGAGGTGAATAAGTTTAAAAAGAAGAAACAGTAGAGAAGAAAACTGGGTCAGGTGGTCACAACAGGAAGAGGGATCATCATTTCAACTTAGAGCTCAAGAGATCAATTAGAAAAGATCCAACTCAATCCATAAGACGCTTGGCACGTGAGAGGGGAGTTTTATCTATGACAATCCAAATAGCAGTGAAAAAAGACGTGAAAATGAAATCGTACGTGAAACATGTGACGTACCTTGTTACTCCAGGACAGAATATTAGATCATCTTGAATAAGTTGGAAACTGATCCTGGAATAAGATATATATTACATATATATATATATATATATATATGAACTTTATTTCAATACTTCATGAGCTTCCGATGCTTGGCTAAAATTAATTAATGATGAAAGTGTCATTTTCGTTTATGATCGATTTCATCATGTGTCATCTGTTAAGCTTAGAGAGTAATTATACACTATTATTACTCAAAGTAGGGTCCAGTAGTGATATAAAAACCTCGGAGAATTCCAGTAAGATATCTTTAATCATTTCTAAGATACAACGGTTCAAAGCTTAATCTAACAATTGGACTATTTTGCTATTACACTCGGTATATATATATATATATATATATATATATATATATATATATATATATATATATATATATATATGTATATATGTGTGTGTGTGTGTGTGTGTGTTTGTGTGTGTGTGTGTGTGTAAGCAAAATATGGAATATAGATCCGACAGCATGAAAATATATGGAAAAAGAAACAAAAATCCTAATATGCAATTATATTAACATTAAAATTGCATAATTGCATATTAGGATTTTTTGTTTGTTTTCCGTATATTTCATATATATATATATATATATATATATATATATATATATATATGTGTGTGTGTGTGTGTGTGTGTGTGTGTGTGTGTGTGATATGATATACAAACCTACATATCAAACTCCTACATAACGTGTTTTGTTCGTTGAAAGGACTTCTTCAGGATATTACTGATTTTATCGATGGATTTTATATTCTGTGGAGGTGATGAAGAAATACAATAAATCCCTGTTAAATTTTATATTGTAAAAAACGCTGCAGATACAAGGAAAGTAATGTTTAAATATATATTCAATTTCCTTGGTATAACTGTCAGTTCTGGTCTGTTTTTGACGGGAGACAGCCTGTCTATTGAGTAGTACCGATGCCGCCCGTTTGCGTTGCCCGCCACGCGTCTTGAAGTTGAGATGAACAGACATTTGGTATGGGGAAGAATCGAAGAGAAGAGCTGAGCTGTTAGACTAACATGACCACCCAGACTGAACAACCGCACCCTGAATAAAACACCTCAATATCTTAAAAAGAGAGCTCTCGTTTCTCATTATGGAGTTTCACTTTTCGTTTCTTTGTGAACGTGCAGTGGACCTTTCCCAGGCTTTGGTGCACACCGACGTGCAGGAGAATTGGGTACGGAATATGGGGTAGCCACTAGCCTGTTGAGAGATAGCTGGATGAATGTCCCGTTCTATCGTTACAATGGAATGATTTATTGTTTTGTTTTTCCCGCTTATTGAGCTTTTTCAAGTTATTTAAAGCCTGAAAATATTTTTTGATTATGAGAAATTTTTAGAGGTAATGATTTTCTGATACGATACTATTTAATCCATAGCTGAGAGGAAAAGAAGTGGATCCATACCTTTCACCCAGTGTATTTGCGCGTAAGTGAATATAACGAACCCAACTGTAATTCGAACTCCGCTTCCTCATTCCGAGCCGTTATCCATTACACCACTCACACATTCAAGCTTACAGCACTTGGTTTTCCCAAGCAGTCACCCATCTAGATATTGACCAGGCTCGACGTTGCTTAACTTCGGTTATCGGACAAGAACCGGTGTTTCAATGTGATCTGACCGTTAGTCTGTTAAGCAGCTGGAAACACCATTTTTTATATACGCAAATATCTAATACGACAAGCAGATCAAGTAATTACGAAGAGAAAAGTTCTCGGTCGAATGTTTGGTCATTGAATTAATGATTTGGGAAAGTGGGTCAAGCTGCAAGCTTTTCGGCGCGTCCTCATATTTATCATGGATGTTGTTATTTTTATTTTTACACCCGATGTCTGTAGATTGCCGCTGAAGACCTTTTTAACCATTGATCTTATATTCATATATAATAGATCTATTCTGTCAGCAAAATTTACATTATTTCCTGACCATTGACAATACTTTTAGTATTGATTTTCAATGGGTCTACAGTTAAATTATTTCTTACGTATTTCTATAGCACAATTATTTTTAGAATTCCCAACCGTTGCATTTAAAAAATGGCGGGACACTCGTATCCGAAAATGATAGAGCGGCGATCCAATCCTTGTTGCAAACGCCTGCTCAGGCACATTCGTGTTTGTTCAATACCCACAGAGCCTACTTGTGGTTTATATTGCAAGTACACTGAGCGGATCTTAGTTACAGTTTTGGGGAGATAGCGCGTTATCTAGCGTGATCAACAGTCTGAAGAAGGCCAGTACGTTCAAACCCTCGGTCACGATGACTTGTGGACGACTCCGCAAAGTGTTCCGTGTAACCAATTTCACTCACAAGGCTTGGATCAACCTGTGGTTTTCAGGCACTTTCCAAAGATGCCACACTCTGGGATCGCCCCCCCCCTAAAGACCTTTAACATCAACATGTCACCTTCCTGATAAATCGACCGTGGTGAGATTCGAACCCGGGTCTCATGGTCAGAAAGCGAACGTTCCAACCACCTGACGTTGCATATACTTCTATTCTGTCAGCAACGATGTCCTTCATTTATAACCATCGACAATCTCTTTCTTCTTGATTCTAAATGCATTCATAGTAAGACTTAGATGGACTGGAACAATGTCAACATAGATGTAAGTTTTTGGTAGGTATTATTACCTGAGTAGTAGATATGGGAGAGTGCTTTTCCTGTCTATTTGTTTACCTTGTTTATTTTTCATCAACCATCAGAGTAGAAAGAATGACTTTTCTGAAAGTTATTTGTGATAAGTGAGCATAACCAGATTCAGTTGAAATTTGAACTTGATTTGTTATAGTGATTTCCCCAGCGTAGCTTAGATGTGGCACAAGGCCAAAACTATGGGAAACCCAGTGAGGATCGAACTCACTACTCAGTCATAATTCTTCTAGTGAGACAAGCTTGTTAACCATTTAACCGCCTCGGGATGGCCAAACTTTATTTGTTATATGCGGAAGTGTTTCTGAATAAGTGTTTGCCAAATTTGATGGCATATAAAAACAACATTTTTCAGTAAAAAGTGGGGGTTTTTTTTGTGTTTTTTTTTTGTTTTTTTTCTGAGGTGGAATTTGCTTGTTCCGTACCCAACATTTCAGTTTTAAATTCAAAGTTGTCCTTATAGCCCTATCACCAACAAATAGAAAGTTCCATCTTCCCTGCTTTTTTGCTCATATCTTGTTTTATGTGTCGCGTCTCTTCGGTACGTAGGTGAATATGGCTCTCCATAACAAGTCTACTTACTATAATAACATTAATAGCAATGTGCTTAACATTATACATTCAACATCTATCTTCTGTTAATAACGCTTGCGTTCATTATGATTCATTGCCTGCCTATCTTGACTTGCTAAGAATATCATTCAACCGAAAAAGGGCACAATTAGTTGTTTGCTAATTAATTTGTTACCCTACATTTATATGCAAATGAATTAAAATGGTGGTATTTGTTAGTCGTCAGGAAGTAATAAATAATACTTTCAACCACGGTCCCAGACTACCTGTTTTCACCATCGTCCAGAAAAACAACTTTAACTTCACCCGTCCCAAAATCAAAATATTTTTTTATTTACTTTATCATTTACTAGCAGCATGGCCCGACGTTGCCCGTGCTTGATTCAAAAATCGTACGACTCATACAGCAATCGCTATCACTTGACTTAAAATATGTTTGCCCTCCCTTGCCTTTAAAGGAGTGCACTTTGCCGTGCTGATGTTGCTACATGCCTTACTTCTTGCCTATCTCACACTGCGATCTTTTTCTAAGTTCTATACTAAACATTAAATCTGTTACGAAAAAAGAACTAAACAAAATGAACACAAAACGATCAGCTTTAAAAAAAGGACTCTGGAAAAACCGAATGAAAAAAGAATGTTAACAAATACTTTTTCATATCTAACCCAGTTCTGCGGAATCAGAATCAATGTTGAGTTTAAGCAAGCGAATGAGCCAATTGGAGTAAAGTGCCATGCAGATTTAAATTTTTCCCACTTGTGACGAATGCATCTATCGATTTTTTTGCATGCTAGCATGCTAGTTAACATTCGTGTCAGTCAGCTGTTGGCTCTCACGCTGGCCAATAGAATCTTCCTGCCTATTCGTGGCAGCCAGCTATAGGCTCTCACTCTGACCAGTACAAAATGGCCGCAAACTGCCGTAGAAGCATGAAAAAATCGATTATTTCCACTATTGATGGGAGTTGGGAAATGCAATGTCGGTCTTGGCCTTCCCTCTAACTTGGAGCATGTGCATGTAAATTTTGGTGCAAATCCGTCAAAAATTGCGGCCGTGCATTCGTCACCCCCCCCCAACACACACACATCCTGCCTTTTATAGATAGAGGTTTTTGTCAGCAGGATAATTTAAAGAAAAAAAATTAAAATTTTTATGAAAGGAATTTTACAAAAACCTAAAATATTAAACTTTTTAAAATGAGTAAATACAAGAACAAATTAGTTAAATTTTGCAGTAGTTTTTGTAAAAATTGGAACTTTATTTGAACATTTAGGTTAAATCTCTTTGAATAATTTTGCACAAAATGTTCCTATTAATTAAATGACATACCCAGATTAACTTTTTATGAAAATTTAATTTAAGAAATGTGCACGAGGCATTCATTTCCGATCATGGCGTTCTTTATTATAGGCCAAGTCGTCATGGATATCACGTCCAGAACTGGAGACCTATCTCAAACATTATCGTTCCACTGTGGTCGTTCGCTCCTGTACGCGACTTAAGAAATTTATTAAAAAATGTAGAGATTAAGAGCATAATTAGTTTGGCTTGAAAATTTAATCCTCTTTATCGAGGTATATTTTTTACTAAGGTCTTATTACAATTGATATATAGGTTGGCGGAGTTTCGGCTCTATTACTTCCTACGTCGTTAACAAGGATGTACATGAAAGTAATTTTTTTTTTTTTATTGTTTACAAATAAAGTGTCTATTGCTATACTGACTTATTTTGTCATAAATATAATTTTATAGGATTATAGAAGTCACTCGAAAAGAAATTGACACTAAAAAATGTTTGGTTTAGCAGCAGAATTAGCATTAACGTTTAATACACCTTGTTTAGAATAACTAAAGACATTGGATTAAATGTATTGAATATAATTATGACATTAACTTAACATAAAACCTTATTAATAAACGATACTTCATTAATTTTTTAATATAAAATATTACGTTTGCTTCTATTTTATGTTTTTAACGGTAAGCTAAACTAAAATTCAACTTTTTTTTTGAAAGAAAAATACAAATTACTCAAAAAAATTAAATTTTTATCAGCAATATATTTGCTACGAATAAAGAACATACAGGATTCGATGGATAAATTGTCGTCTAAATTAAGCAAAAATGAAAATAACACTAACATCTCATTTTAACAGCTGTATTTACCAAATGTACATAAAGAATATCTTGAAATACTAAAGAGTAAATTTATTCAATGAAATCGCCAATGGCTTCAACCGCGGCCTCCAGACGACTTCAAAATCTCCTGTAACTCTTCTGGATTGTCTCCTTGTTTAAGTTGTTGAATGCAGCCATAATCCCTGCCTTCCGTTTATCTTTGGTGTTAGAAGGAGTTTTGTTGGTCTCTCGCTCACCTACGACCCATACATAATAATCAAGGGGGTAGAAATTTTGGGAGTTAGGTGGCCAGATGTAAGGAGTGACGTTGTTGCAGAAATTGTCTGGCAGCCATGACTGGGTTCTCCTGCCTGTGTGGCATGGCGCAGAATCCTGTTGCCAGACAAAGGGTCTTCAGGCCACTCTCTTGACCCAGGCAGCACTACCTCCTCAAGGCACTAGATGTAGGCCTACGCGTTGAGTGAGGCCCTCACCAACAAATTCGGGACTTCCTTTCATATCAGAACACTCAGAATGAGTTTTCCGAGCTGTCGTAGCTTCATAATCACCATTAGACTCATCCAACTCTTTCCGAATCCTCTGCACCGCCTCCAGATTGACATCCAAACACCTTGAAATAGACGTATTCGAACTTCCAGCGCAAATGCTAAGCGATACTGCATGCCGTTTCCAAATTTCTGGCGGGGTAAATTGCGTCATGGTACGCTTTTCCTCATAGACGGTGCCCAACTGACCCTACCAAAAATAAACAAACAAACAAGCAAACAAAGCGTATGTGCGAAATTGAAAATATAAAATGGCAACAATTTACCCATCGTATTCTGTATATATATTTTTGTTATTTAACTTTATGTAACAAATAATAGCATTTTCAGTAGAATCGAAAGAAACAATATTTGGAGAAAACATTATAAAACATTATTAACACTAGCTTTCATGTAAGAGACTTTGTAACATTTTCAATAAACAAGACTAGAAAAAATAGGTTTAATAAATTATTTCTTTAAATCCAGTAAAATTAAAATGTTACATTTCGGTATAAAACGGGGTAAAAATTCAATATACTTTTCTGGATTTGTTAGAAAGAGGAATGCAGACTACACAAAGCGAATAACGCTTTATATTTTCCCCATGCCCATCTATATTTTCACCTTCCCACTCCCTTAGCGAGAGAGCCTCTTGATTTTGTCCAATGGGCAGAATACAGCAGTCTCTCCTTTTTTGAGAGTTGGACGGGCCCTACTAACATCAGTTATGT